TCCCCACGGATTGCTGTCTGTCTATATATATATATATATATATATATATATATATATATATATATATATGTATATATATATATATATATATGTATATATGTATATATTACATACGCGAGTCTATAGTCCGCTGAAAAGTGACCTCTGGTGAATTTTCTGTATTTGGATGACGCAGTTATAAGTTACTTTTCAGTAGCTGTTTACCTGTCATGCTTAAGTAATCGCATATGCACATGTGATGAGGTGGCTGTTCAATTCATTCGTGACTAACTTCAGATTTTCCGTCCATTAGTCAATCAAGAAAAAACTGTTATGCGAATTAGCTCAATACCTGTTCCCTCATGGCTTTATTCTAAACGGGATAATTAGAAGAAAATGACAGTAGGAAGAATAGCAAAGTGAACAACTATTAAATCCTTATGAAAGAGAGGGTGAATTTGAAAACAACAAAATAGGAGGGTGAACTGATCTTATTCAATTAGATTAGACTGTTTAGATAGTGAACATCTCTAAATTATTTGATCCGATCAATCTTTTTGATCACACTAAAAAAATACATAAAAGAACATTCTTTTACACGAATCACTTAACCTCGCTTGACTAATTGCGTGCAGCAGTAGTTTGGCGTGATGTTGATTTTAATGATAACGGTGATTTGAAGGCTTAATAGCTTCTGTTGGTGATAATGACAGTGATAATGACTGTATCAAGCAGATGAAAGATTATTTCGTCGATGAATCTAAAAAAATACTGTGAAATTTTGTTACACTGCACAGAAATAAATGTCTGATCCTTAACAATAAATTCAGCAAATTATATTATTTCGCTGAAGAATGATTAAATACAATAACATAATCAGATGAACGCTTTTCATCCATTAAATTTGAATAATTTACGAAGACAAAAGCATGATCAAGGTGATCAAAAGAAAGACTGTTCACCATGAATAAAAACTGGCAAGTGATGAGCGTAATCAACGCACATGAATCTCAAAAAAAGATCTTTTACATAAACTTCTGTGAAAAAAAAAATGAAAACAGAACATGAAAATAATATTTCCTCAAGTAAAACTCAGTCCAGGTTTTGAAAACGCTACACTTCAATAATTCAGTGGATTTACTTTTGCTACAGTCAAGGTTTTTCGTGACAGAAGCAGGCATGTTCAAACAGGCTTTTTTAAAATGAGTAAAAGTTAATCTGTTAAGTAGTCTGTAGAATTTGATCAACACTCAGGAATAGACAACATGAACTTGTTTGCTCTTCAGTGACTAATCAGTGTTTCTAATCCTGTCCTTTACCAGGTCTGTTGCAGTTCAAATATACCAGAGGTAATGTCTTTGACTGCAGCAGTGTGTATCGTGAGTTCAAACGCCACCGTAGACACCAATCCCCTGGAGGTTATAAATCACCATTGCTGACGAATGGCAACCAGTAGAAAACTTTGGTGTAGGGCGTCCTAAAGATTGTTTTACTTGGTTGAATCATCCAACCTCTTTTGGTTAATGGGCCCCTATGTGGATGCCTTGATATTGCTTGAATATTTATTATGATGATTTGTTTGGCTGTGGCTAGCAGAGGAATGCAGGATGTGCGTTCCGTTCTGTTAGGGACATCCAGCTGACCAGTCCCAAATAAGACGCAACGCTCGTCCTGGATTGCTCTGCTAGCCACAACCAAGTAAATTCCTACCAGTTGTCTCCAATTAACTAATATCCTACAGTTTATTAAGGAGTCACTATAAGACAAGTGAAAAGGTGAAATCCTTTATGAGCAGTTCCACTGGGTGAAAGGCAACAGAATTCGTATTTATTTTTAAGTAATTCACAAGAGTTGACAAATGGGCATTTTGTTCTACATTCCTAATCAATTTGACTGCGTGTGTTTTTCAGAATTGCATAATGGTTGTCAGTTTACACTTACTGCGTCTATGAGTATCTGCACTGGAGAATGAATCTTAGGAACTGTTATTTAAGTCACAAAAGTCCTGTTAGAAATTACTTTTTAATCACCGAATGTTTTCAGAAACAACCAGAAAGTTGATATGAATAAAACCTCTAACATATTGTCTTAGTTCTGAAAAGTAGACAATATAACATCACCTACTTCTCGATAAATGTACAATACACTAGATCTGGTTTCTTACAGCAAAATTTGCCATCAAAATAGAACTATCACCTATAATGCTGCTGCGATAATGCATGTAACCTCCTTTCTCTGAGGGCTCGTGAATGTCTCTTAAGTTGCTGAAATACTGTGCCGATGAACATTAACAGTCTTCCATCGGAAGCGAACAAGGCACTTACGCAAATCATTGTCTGCTATCGTTTACTCATTTTCCCCATAAATACATATAGGTCCTACAGTATCCAACATTATTTACGGATGGTAAGTTTCAACTTTTAAATATGTTCACCTCATCCTAGTACTAAACTGCCCCTTTCAGAAAGCATCTCAATAATTCTATGTACACAGGTGTCTATGTAGAGAGTGATTTTAGGATTTTTCTAAACTCGACGGTTAGAACACATTTCACTAATCCATATAATTGTCAGCGACTAAAGATATTAATAGGATGATAATGCACATTTTTGTATTCTTCAAGTGACTGGCGAATTCCGTGGCTGAAGTACAAAATAATACCTGTTCCAGTATCAAAGGTTGTGTGTACTTCTTAAATGCTGAGAACTTTATATAGGTTACTACTCGTCTACAAATTTATGTGTTTATAGCAGTTTACTGTCTTTACTCAGTCACTGTGGCTTAAAACTCTTGGCGTGCTGAAAGTCAATGTTGTGAAAATAAAGTTATTGCAATCTATGAACAACTTTAATTCATTTAGCAGGCTTTAACTGCACTTATTTGTTACTTGTTAGCTGTAACTTACTTGATATATAATGAAGCAGATGTTTTAAAAAATTACAGAAGCTAGCTGTTTCAGAATTACTGTACTTATCCTACTAATTAATCCACAGAAACGAAACTAAATGACAAACGGATAATATGCATACCATGATCTGGTATACAGAATTAACTACAGTGTGTTTACTCTTCTTTAATCGATTTTGCTACAATGAGGTATTTAGTCTTGATTTAACAAAACGATAAAACATGTCGCATAAAGTAATCGCCTGCGGATGAGTTAGTTAAGAATTCTTACACTAAAACTCGTATATCGTTGAACTATTGTACACTAGATGAATTCTTTTCATTGATGTAAGTTGTTCAAGAAGTTTTAAGAAAAATTCTTTTGCAAAGCAAGTATGTTCAGAGTAAGTTCACTTAGCAAATTGCCTACCAACTCACCATAAGCTACATTTCATGCTGAAGTTATTTTTTACTTCGTAATATTCCTAAAACATTGGAAAGGTATCTCATCAAGTGGTAAAGAGTATTAAACATCAGGATTAGATGAAGTCAGTTTGGTTGTTTTTCAGTGGTTAATCAGTGTATGTAATCCAGTCCTTAAGGGGGGGGATGTTGCAGCTCAAATAGCTCAGTGGTAACATCACTGACTGCCACACTGGGTGACACGGGTTTTAATCCAAGAGGAGAAATTATCTCCGCCGACGTTGTATATCCGTCTTACTGACGAGTCATAGCAAGCACAAAACATAGTTAGGGTAGGGCTTCCTGCCGATTGCCTTCAACGAACTAACATCCATCGAAGTGCAATGTGATGCCTCTGAGCATAGTATCAACAATACCTTCAGGACTAGACATCAAGAAACTGGTTGCCTTTCAGCGATCAATCAAGTTATTAAACATCCACTGTGTGTACTCATGAGATTTTCCTTGCACAGCTAGGAACCTTCTCAAAGATGTGATGAATTCAGAATAAGCAGCAAAGTATTCCCCTTCAAATCATCTTTAGTGGACAGCCTTAATTAATTAATTACTGTTAATCTTTATGCACTGTCATATAATCACATAACCGATCAAAATTTTGATCTTGATCTCTATCCTATATTAGTTACCTGTCGACTGAGGACCAGAAATAATCCTAAAAACACAAACTATTGAAGAATGTATGGTTTAGTGAAATTAGTGGAATATTATTATTGATTTTATTATTAATATTTTTATCGCCATATAATCTGTGACTGAATGAATTTGACAATGCGTATTAATTGTAAAAACTCAGAATTATTTGGTTTTTGTTGAACAGATAGATAGGATTTATATCAATGATAACAGAGTATATATATATATATATATATATATATATATATATATATATATATATATATATATATATATATATATAAAGAAAAATGAAAATCACAACATGATTGATATTGTTGCAGGTTTTAGTAGTAGAAGTAGTAATAGTAGTAGTGTGAGTAGTAGTAATGAATAGAATACCAAATGTGGACTAGAAGCTAAATACCAATAAACAAACCAAAACTGAATATTGAATGACCGAAATATTATACTAATGTAGATGAATTTAATGATTGTTTACCGCGATGAGACTGTAAATTAAAGTAGTGAAAGAATAGTAAAGAAAGAAAGACGACAATACGAAATAGTGTTTCCTTCAGTTGCATGAAATGAACCAACGAAAAATAATATTCCATATTAGATTTGTTTATTTGATATAAAGCGCACAGTGATACAGTATTATTTACTTGATTACGTTTCGAGCATAAAGTATTGCTCATAATCATATCAATATCCAATCAATATGGCACTGGAAAAAATAAACAATCAATATGGCACTGGAGACAGTCAGAAATCAACTAGATACTGATATGATTATGAGCAATACTTTATGCTCGAAACGTAATCAAGTAAATAATACTGTATCACTGTACGCTTTATATCAAATAAACAAATCTAATATGGAATTACATTCTACCACAGTGCCCAAGTTTTTCACTTATATTAAGAAATAATGTTAATAACTGCTTAGACCATTAATAAAATCAAAGAGATCGTGCTTGGAACTATTCATATTTGTTAAGTAGACAAATGTTGAAGGGACAGTAATTGATTTGATTTTACATTATACGTGTCAACAGATTTGCTGTTACCGCATTTAGAGCTACCATCATTTTACTTGGATCTCTGTCATCCTTTAAAATTCGACGATGCACTTCAAGCAGATCAGAAAAGTCTGGAGGATCACCTTTGCCTAAATTTCTATCCAGATTCGCATTAGAAGTAGCCGGATTAGGGTTAAATAATCTATTGATAAGATTTAAATTTGTCGCAGGTAAATTTGAGTTCATCGGAACTGCTGTCATGAGTAATGTGTCAGAGAGAGAAGTAATGTTGGTAGTCATAGTGGAAGTGGTATTTTGAGACAACTGTGATACCATGATCGGTACAGACAATGACGAAGACGACGTTGAAAGTGATGACTTATGCAAATGACTGGATACATTACCATTCACATTATTGTTTCTGCCGTTGTTGTGACACCACGAAGAAATGCTAAGATCAGTAGGATTTAAAGAATCATTTGAAGTTATTTCCTTAGTATCGACATTATTAGAATAAGGGCCCAGTTTTATGTGACTACTCGAAAGGTTAGTGTTACATGGTGATAATATCAGATTATTGCTTTGAAGATAGGTAGAATTTATAACACCTGGTCGGACGTAATTATCTGTTACCCATGATCCTATTGATGGCGTTGAATTCATCAAATTTTTCAAAGGAAACGTGGACCCAGTACTTCCAATATCATGTACAGATGAGGAGATAGAGTCTCCTAAAGACGTTTGCAATTTTTCTGTTTCTATTGTTTGAGGCAAAACTATCCCACTTGGTCTAGAAGATATAATACCGTCTGAATTCATATTTGTCGGTTTGTAATCAAGTGAAATTTGACGTTTCCATTTGTTACGACGATTTTGGAACCATATTTTTACTTGCGTTTCCGTCAACTGCAGTGTTTTTGCTAATCCAATACGTTCAGAACTGGATAAATAACGTTTCAAGGCAAATGTTGACTCTAACCGGTAAACCTGATTCCTGGAGAATACAGTACGTGTCTTCTTTTTCCTTCGCAATAATTGAATTGACAAGGATTTTGAATTGAAATCTGACTTATAATCCATACCGTCATCTGTCCCAGCATCATTCATATCTGTTGCTGAAATAATAAAGACAGTTGATGTTTATCACAAAACATCAAACTGAAGGTAAAATATAAGATTATGCAACAATGAATATGTTTTATTTGAGTGACTTTAAAGGTCATCCTAGAAACTACTGAAATAATTATTCATATGTAAGAATTTAAGCTGACAGAGTAGCCCTGAACAAGACAAAGGAAAGTAATTGGTTATCTCAGCAGTTGTTAGCGGGACCTTTATGGTCGCTCCTTTTAAATACATGAACAATTAGCTAAGGTTATCGGTAGCCACATGTTCGTAGTGCACAAGATTGTCAACTAATACCTTCTATTCCCGAAGCTATATAATGTCCAAAATCTGAATCTTCTCCTTCCTCAAACAAAATCTGTGTGAGCTGATAAACTAAGTTTAACTACATACACTAAGATAGGTAATTTTTGACTGATTAGTGTACTGTGAAAGTAATATAAGGGATCTCCTTTTACGATAAATGAAACCGTCCTATTTAGAGAAGGATAGCATCAAAGTGTATACTACTAACTTTATACTTAGGACATACTTGTTGTCTACTCGACAATTAGCTATCTTCAGTTGTCTTTTCCATTATCATCATTCGGTTTCATAAACATACGATACTTTCAGTCCTGTCATTAAGTAGCACTTCTAAACATATTGAGAAGTGATATACATATGCTTTTTTGGTGTACAGTCTCATCCTTTTTGATCATGAAAATACCAGAGGCTAATAACTCTTGCTAAACAAGAAGTGTACAGGGACGTACATACACTATTTCAAATCGCTTACCCTGACTATCTGCAGTTGAACCAACTCCATTTGACCAAAAATTCTTTAATCGTGATGTAGGTGAAATAAAATCATTCATTTTTGAAATGCTTTCAGTATCACTCATTTCTTCATTGACATATTCATCGTCATCATCATTATTTTCATTGCTATTGAGACGGTTATTTCTCATCTCCTTACCTATATCGTTCCTTTTATTCTGTTTATATTGGCTCATTTTTATATCATTGTTTATCGATGGAATAAACAAGTGATCTCCTGGAGGAGTAATTGATACTGTTGTAATTCCTTCTAACAGGTTCAACCCGCTTTGATTTGAGTAATTTATACCATACTGTTGCATTTCATTTGACCAACTTGAAATCGGAGTTTCAGTGGAAAGCTGATTGTGACGATTTAATAAATTGACAAAATAAGCTAGCTGATTTTGCTGATTGTTATAAATACTATGATTAGTATTATGATTGTTCGTAGTAGTAGTAGTAGCACAAACGACATTGTTGGCGCTAAAATTGTTGTTGCTTTTATTACTTTGTAGGCGATTTGTGAAGTTTTGTTCTGCATCAGATTCATCCAGTCTTATACCGTCCTTATTGTTGCTGAATAATGCTGAACTAGTATTTGGTGGATTTAGGAGATTATTTGGTGATGTATATACTGGACTAATATTCCTGTCCAATTTTGAGTCAGGGGAAGGAACCGGTGTTTTATTTCCAATATCCGGGATAATGCAGTTCTGTAACCACATCAGTAGATTATTATTATTATTATTATTTTTGTGACTATTATCACTAGCAATGTTCATATCAGCACTACTAATAGCATTGACAATAGTGTTGGCTATGTTAATATATTGATTGCTAATGTTGTTACCACAGGTCATTTGTGTCGCTGTGTTGACTGGATTATTTTCTTGATTTACTATGTTATTCCATAGTATTTCTAATGTTGATTGGGGTGGAGTAAGTGAGTTAGGCTTAAAATTGTTTGATTTACTGGAAAGCAACATCGCAGATAATTCGAGTAAATTATATGGGGTAAAACACTTTTCACTTTTTTCAGAATTGAATAGATAATTTGTTTTCATTAAATCTAAGAGAATATTTGGATTTGTTATTATTCTTTGTATCATATCGATTGTGCTTAAATATGTATCCATACTATTATTATTGGAAGATTGGGTGCTAAGCGTTGAAAGTGTTACTGGATTATCCGTAGTAGTTAACTGGCTTTCTGAATGGCTTATAATAGTCTCTGTGTTACTTTTAGTAGTATTTATACAGCTGACAATAGAAGCCACTTGAGGAATACTATTCACTGAAGTTATTGAATCCTGATCGATACAGGAAGCTATAGATAGGTTTAAATTATCTGTAGTTGAGAAAAAGAAAAAAGAAAATATGAGCAACTCAGATGATAAATGCTATCATCACAACATAGCTCTCACTTTAGTTTGATAACCACATGTATATAATCTGCTAGAACAATATGTTGTTACATGTACTATCCCGTCGTTGATTGGACCTTATTGACCGTTCTCCATTGGCATATGTGCCCCTGCGCGGATGCCTCGATATTACCTATTGTATTAGTTTTTATATCAATGATGGATGGTGGCTAGCAGTGAAATACAGAACGTAAGTTTCGTCTCGTTTGGGACTCGACACCTGGATGTCATAGGGGAACAACATAGCTCGCTGGAAGGCAGATGCATCCGGCTGACGGGCTCCAAATAAGACGAAATGCGGGTCCTAGATTCCACTGATACCCACTGTTCATCACTAATATTAGAACAATAAGTAGACAGAAAACTGATCTTATTCTATGTAGAAATCAAACAATGTAAACAGATAATTCACTGTAGTCCTGTATGAAGAATTTGTCTGAATAAATTTCGCTAGTATAAAGACCGTCAGCCGGTGTAAACAGTTTAAAATCTATTGGAGATACCATCTTGTATTAAATATTTATTGTCGTAAATATTTTGTCAAGCAGAATCAAACCACACCTACAATAACAGAGGTTAGATGTGATTTCATTCATCTCAGTTTCCAGATATATTAATGGATAAATAAAACTTTAATGTGCAGACCAATCGTAGATTTGATTGCTTAGCAATATACAGCACCAATGAATTGAAATGAAAAATAAGCAATCCAAGTTAAACATACCTATAATTACAAGAGATGCGTAAAAAACAGATCTTTCAACAAAGGTAAACATTGCATCAATTGCCAGAATGTACATCATAAAGCATCCATACTTACTGGTGTTCAAGAGGTGACTAAGTTTCGTTTAGATTGAAAGGCTTCATTTACTGGTTCCCTTGTTCCACTAAGCAAGATTTTTTTCATATTTTTAAATACTCATCCACCGATCCGTAGATTACAAGCTAAGTGCGTGTGTTTTCAAAGAACTCTACTGAATGTAATCATGATTAGAAGATAAGACCTAATTTTAAGTCGTCAGAGGATAATAGTGGTCAACTCCACCCTGACGTCATTTTCCTACTTTGGTTTCAGTTATGGTTCATTTTTGGAAAAAGTGACAAAATAAGTTTAAGGAGGAAGAGAATGACTGGAAACGATCTAAACTTTAACACTCTGTATATGCTGAAAAGTGATATTTCCTTGCTCGTTATATAACTAGTAGAATCTTCTGGTGCTTTTAATAAAATTTAATGACCTTCCTTCTGTACTATTTAGAACCCATAAAATCTTGTAGATTTTTCAATATATCAATGTGATGATGCCTGTAAACTGACTTCTCTCGTGTTAAACAACTAATGTGAGAGTAAAATACTTATGATTATTATTTATTATTATAGATTTCATCAATTTTTATTCCACGAAGTAAATTGCTGCTGAAGAGATACAGAATTTACTTTTCAATGGTTCTGCAGCTTATGCCAGTTAGTGATGGAAACTATTTATGTATTAAATACTTATTTAGTCGGTAAATATTTTGCTAAGCTTAGTTAAAACACAACTGAGGACAGTAGTCTAGCAAGAAGGTCAGATCAGTAACCACTATGTCATATGGTGAGTATACAGAACACATTCCTCTTTGGCTTATTTCGCTTCCTTGGTTGTCTCTTGCATAACAGCTAAATATTAGACTGGTATAATTCATAAACATTCCTAGACATATAGGGCAATTCAGTGACTCATGAAGATATCAATGACAAGTTTATTCACGTACTACTACTGAATAATTTGAGCAGTTAGGACCCACTCCAGCTGATCTGCAGATTTCACCAGCCAGCTAGATAAAGGTGATCTAAACACTGGATGATCGTTTTGCTCATCTGGAGCTGAACTCATCAGCAGTGCACCCAGAGAGATCCCACTCATACAGCCGGATTTGTTCAGACTACCTGAATCTGGCTGGCTAATTTGCTTGGTTCGGTAAACCTAAAATAGGGTGATCAATTTGAAAATGATTTACGAATTTCAAGACCAATGTAGACAATTTTCACAGCCGAGTAGTTTTTTTCATTCCCCAACTGTAGTGCCAACGGGCTTTTCATTGAAGACCACCTGTCAGCTAAGAACATAATGTATGGTCTCTGACACAAAAGTGTCATGAACTAGTGAAATAGAAATATATAAGTTTCTGGGTACCTCGTACGGTCGAGTGATAGATAACTTCAGAGTATTACCAATGTTTCTGTTTGAATCCAGTCAAAGACATGTTGATAACTAGTACTGTCACCTAGGGTTTTGTCACAGTATTGGTTTTCCGTCATCCTCAGTAATTATCCTTATTTAATATTATAACGATAAGTTTGTCAACTGCATCTTTTGCAAAGTTTTATAACATTAAAATTAATCTGTTAGCTATTATCACCTTCGTTATGACCCCCACACTTATCATCAAATTCAATACAATTATTAAGTGTTACATTTCTCAACTACTGGTAATTTTCACCTCTTCAAATTCTTCGCTTTACTCATCATCATTTCGTAGATTATTTCACGACTCCTTCGCACTATTTCTTCTATCCTTGAACTAGTTCTAGTGATGCAATCGTGCTTTGAATTAGCCGATGAGCTGCTGTGTGTTTGTGGTATATATATATATATATATATATATATATATATATATATATATATATATATATATATATATATACGATTCTATAGCTTTAGGATATGACACCATCAGAATTCCGTCTCCTGAGAAATAACTTCAAAAAGCTAATCAAGTGACAAGATATCAGAATAAGTGATTTCAAGGAATCAGTCATCAAGTGGTAAGTAGTGTAGCTGTCATTACTGTGATGGTAACAGAAATCTGTTACTATGAAATATGGGACGAATAATTCAGTGTTTAGTTCGTCAACTTCAACGACTAGTAATGTAGGTTTGAATTTCCGAGGAGATACGATTTTTTGAAAATTTCATCATTAAAAATTGTTATATCGTACAAGTTGGTTACAAGCACCAAAACAAATTTAAAATTATGAGGGATTTATTTAGTGTAATATTCATGTGATCTATGATTGTTCTATCCATTTAACTGACATTATACACGATGAAAGTTCCTTGTATATTGTTTTTGTAGTTTTGAAAGAAAAATCCAGATCATTTTGGAGATTAGTAGTTGACCTCTTCGAATGACCCTCATCATTCAATGAAAGTTATTGATGTGTGTGATTTTTTCCCTAGTTTGTTGTTTCAGCACAAAAGCATTAATCCTAGTGACAAGATTTCGATCAATTTTCAGTATAATTGCGTCTTCAATCATGCATTACTTTTCCGTTTTGAAAAAAACATGCTTTTATGCACTTGCCTCTTAATATATAATTACTTGGGACACGAAAGCGTCGGACAGCTGTTTTGTCCTAGTATAGGATTCCTCAACTGTCCAGTGCTTCCAGATTTTCACTGGTTCTCTACATGCTGTCAGTCAGTGGGGAATACTACCTTGAAATAAATAAAATCGACACAAACCTTGAACTTTATAGGAGTTTTAACTATAATTTATAACAATATAGTGGTACTGACTTTTGCAACAGGAATTTGTCAATTCCAGGATATCAGGGAGGGAGAATGAAGACAATCATTTCCACTGAATAAAGATTTAACCTTAAGAAATGTGATGGATAACCATTTCACATACATAACCAACAAAACATACCTTAAAATCTTAGAGATAACAAGTGCATAGTAGTGTAGTGTTTACTGGAGTGAAAATTTGAAAAGGTACAAAAGTCTGATCGAATTCATAGACTGATTGATATTATGAGGATGGAATCGGAATTAGACTAAGAAAGCAATACCACTGATAATATGCATAATAATAAAAATAACAATAATAATAATTTACTCACCTTCCATCCTATCATTTAAACTCATTTGCCTAACATTTATATCGACTCGTGACGTTGTAGTATCATCTTTATTATTTGTATTACTAGAGTTCACTACATATGCCTGTGAGTCCAGTATAGAGGTAATTGAGAAACCTGTTTGTCCACAACCGACACTCGTCGATGAAATATGTTCCATATTATATATGATATTGTAGATAACTGATGCACTCTTATAGATGTAAATATACTTTGATCGTTTGTGGTATTCTTATTACTTGTATGCTGTTGTAGTCAGTGATTATCCTTAACTTTCTAAGTATAGTGAAATTCTGAGCTGAATACAGAACCTCTTTATAAGTTTATGTTAACAAAACTGTGGTCATTAAGTGGTGTTGTACAAAGAATCAAAAAGAAAACTGAAGATATTAATTCGGCACACGAAACTAAGTAAGGATAATTTAGTGACAGAAGATAAAGAAAGGAGAGGTACACATTATTTTTACTCAATACTGTGTCATAAAATAATCACATGAGTCTATTCCCAATTCATCTCAATTAAACAAGTAAAGAAATGGTGTGAGATGGTATATAAAATGAGAATGCTTTTCGAAGAAGAGAAGAAGGAATTATTTTAACTTTTATTCGGAAAGAAAACATTAAACAGAGTTAATGCTTTGTTTCCCTAACCCAGTGTGGGGTTGAAAGAATTTACTCGTTACGGATACAACTAGACATGTACGCATAACATTGGTATAGAGGTAATCCATTTAAACGTGCATACACATACAAACAGGGAAAATTTTCTCATCTACTCTTCACCAGGTAGTCAGTCATGTAGGTGAGACAATTTGTCTCCTATTTAATGGCAGAATACAAACAAAGGATGACACAACTGTCTACAAACAAGATAATTTCAACCATTAAAATGTTAAGAATTATGGTTTCCTTTCTTATATTATTGATCCAATCAAAATAAAATATCTCTCCTTTTTAGTAGACAAATGTATTTATGAGGAACACAAACTCTCTCCTACAAATCGACAAAATCTATATAAGTAATACAAATTTTTAAATGCATATTTTATTCGAACCAATAACAACAAATACAGGCTATTTGTCTAACCAGGTTAGAAAGAAGAAATATAATTTCAGTCAGGCAGATAAACAAATTTCCCTGTAATTGCTAAATATCTGATTTTAAATTCCGAAAAAAAGAGAATGAATGAAATCTGTTCTCAGGAGAGAAATAAGAATGTGATTTCCTAGCTCTGAAATGGATTATTTAGGATAGTCTGTTATTCTACCCTACTTGTCTGTATATGCCTTTGACTCTTTTTTTTCTGTCTAATATACAAATGCTGACTAACCTAAACCAATATCCTACTTTATTTTCTTGTCGTCTTGTTACTCTTCCTTCCTTTCTTTTTCACTTTAATAACTCATTAACATGAACATGTCTTACATATATAGTAAACTTTAATTACAGTTGATTTAATTAAATTTCTTTTGTATTATGAGTATTATTATCGTTCTCATTTGGCTTCATTGCCTGCTTAGTTTTCTTGTGATAAAGAATTTCCGAATGTAAAATTGTGAAGGTATATTTCCCTTTTCTGGTAAATGTAGTTAGGGAATGATTCGAACAATGATTACTGTTGACGATATTGAATCTTCCCATCTGAAAATTGATTGTTCAACCTCGCAATCTGCTTTATATTTTATGTCTATGAAACACGAATTTTTTGTGTGTATTTCCCGCTGCATTGAGGTAAACGTGTTAAACCATTTCTAGAATCATTATTTTCCTGTTTTTCCACCTCACAGATCAGTCATGCAGAACATGATACTTTTTTCAAGAACAGTGTACTATACTTTCATTTTGCCACCTCTTGTTGAAATAAGCAGCTTTTATTTGGTGACTTCACCTATTTTTACTGTGTTAGTTTAGAATTTTCTTCATTGATGACGCTTTTCACCAGAAAACTAAATTTAATTATGCAGGTATTTGACTGAAATTATATATTAATAATGGATAGTGGCTAGCAAAGGAATCCAGGAAACGCGTTTTGTCCTATTACGGACTCAGGTGGATATACCTGCCTTCTAGTGGATGATGTTCCCACTGGTACTCGAACTCGAGGCTGATCGCTTCAAACGCCAGAGGGTCATTCATTAGCCCACGGATCCACGATGATACAAGCGGAAATTCCACATATAGATGTTATGTTACTTAGAACTGGTTAGTAATATGTTTCGGAAAGTCTGAAAAAATATGCAATTTTTGAAACGTCCTCTACTCTAAAATTAAATAAAAACTTTACGTTTATGTACTATAGCCCACAAATGAACCCATCCGAAAATAAATTACATTCGTATTTTTGGATTATGTCATGCGGTTAATGAAACACGGAGAGAATATAGCATCCATTAATAACCTTTGTTTAGGAAACAAAAATGTATTGCCCGATGATTCTTCTGAGTAGTAAGTACTAATTACATATATTAAGACACTGGAAGATACTTATGATTAAAAACGATTGAAATATCACAAAGTATTTTTGTAGTTGAAACAGATAAATATGCGCGTATTGTTTCAAGTTGCTTTCGGTAAACACTAGATTATATCATATTTGCAGATGCCTGTTTTGCTTTATTCATTCTTCATTCTGTTCAGATTTTACCCACGAGTTCTTATACTCACTTGCTAAGTAAGGGCTGATGAAGTCACATAGTCTTATGATAAAGCGTTGAAGAACAAACTTGAAAACTTGGAGAACAGTAAACAGATAGTATTTTTGGCCACTATCCATCATTAATATAGTTGGTATTTTTGTTTGCCAAGACTGGTGCCTAATGATCAGATAAAACAGTTTCATAAATTGATGCTTTTCCTTTAAACTGTGGCTTTTTACCGAACCTTTTATTCTCAGATTTGTCTCCTTTGATGAAGTTAATTTATATGGCTGTACTATTCAGATGATCACTTACTCAATGTTGTCGATTGGTCTTTTCTTATATACTGTTTCAGCGTCTTTTATCTGTCAACTGCTAAGTTTTACGAAAGACTTAAAAATTCCGTAACCTTCTGGTCAGTTCAGGGGTGGTAGTATCGGCCTATGGCTTTTACTTTTGAATGCGTTTGCTAGGGCAACAGAAGGAGAATTATGTAAGTCATGAGTGAAGATGATCATTGTTTCGAAAAAATGAAAATTCAATTTAAAAGAAAGTTGACTGAAAAGTTTCGTCATCCTTTACAAGTCATCATCCATCCAAATCAACGTAGGACCGGGCATTACTGCGTAACGATTTGGGTCGCCACAGCTCATATCAGTATATCAAGTAAAAATGCAGTGAGGTACAATATGAAGATAAGAAAATTCAGTCAAAAGAAATATAAAGTACTGAAAGAGAGAAACCAAGAATGAGAAAATGATGAGATTCGGTATAGTGTTACGATGAGGATAATGTGCGTGTACACACCTGCACCACTGACATCGGTTCTGAGCCATATCACCTGGAGTCAGTCTCCAACCACTGGCTTCTCCTGCGTCGCTCCATATGGCTTAAACCAACAGTCAAAGACTTCATACATTTATACCATATTTTAGTCTGGCCACCTCGGGTCTTTTTCCAGCCTGAACCTACTTCGACCAACATTGTGTGACGAGGCAATAGACGACTGGGGATACTTAACACGTGTCTCAACCATGTCAGTCGATGAAGGTTCACAACCTCGTCAACTGATTTGCCTCTACTCACTAAAACTCTACACCTGAATTCTGCGTTACTCACATACTGACACCGCGGAATATGGTCTATACTACGAAGGTAACGGTGGTCAACCCCCCGAAACCTTCTCATGTCTTCCATCTTCAATGGCCATGTTTCACAGCCATACCGTAGAACAGAGTGGACTGCTGTGTAGGTGAAGTACACGCGGATTCTTAGTAGACAATCGGATATCACGGCGGCGCCATAGGTGGCGTAAGTTGGCGAAAGCCAACAGAGCCTTTTGTATTCGTGCGGAGATTTCATTGGCCAGTGAGCCACCATGGCTGATCCTACGTCCCAGGTAAGTGAAGTGGTCGAAATACTCAACTACTACACTCTCTATTGTTAGCCGAGGTACCGATGAAGACCAATGCTGGAGCAATAATTTGCATTTGGGTGGTGAGAAACGCATCCAAAACATTCTCAAATTGACACTCAAAGTGTTCAGAAGACTCTGCATCTTGTCATCGTCTTCATCTAACAGGACAATGTCATTTGCATATTCTAATTCTAACGGAAATTCTCCACCAATTACGTCGACGTCTATATAGTCAGCTAACAAGAGGGGGACTTCCATGAGAATATCTATGATAAAACTGAATAAGAATGGAAATAGTAGGCAGCCTTGACGGACACCACTTGATGAGTATAGCTCCCTGGACATCTCACCATAGGCTGTAACACGCCCACAAGCGTTCGAGTAGACAGCCTTCAATATGGTGGTGTACTTACTCGGCATGCTTTTCGGTGAGAGACATTGCCATAAGAATTCTCGACCGACGGAGTCGAATGCCCTCCTCAGGTTGAGAAATACAGCCAGTGTCGGGCTCCGGTAAGCGTACCTGTGTTCCAAAACCTGGAGCAGTGTGACATTTGGTCGATACACCTGCAGCCGGGTCTGAAGCCTGCCTGGCTTTCTCGGGCTTGCTGTTCTCTAGTTCCACTCAGGCATCGAAGAATTATAGAACCTAGAATCTTAGACACTATGTTCGTCAGGCTGACTCCTCTGTGGTTATCACAAGAGGACTTCTCACCTTTTTTGAAGACTGGGATAATCAATGATTTAGACCAGTCGGAGGAGATCGTATTTGATATCCATATACTAGTTAATACTTCCGTTAACTTGACTAAGAGCACTCTACCACCATCCTTGTATATGTCAGCTGTTAGTTCACAAGTAGGGATCTAGTGAACATCTTGATTATGCTAAATTCATTCAACCAAGATGTACATAGAGTTTCAACTTCGAAAAGCGTCTTTATTTGTCAGTCGATATATTTGTTTCATTTTTCCTAGCACTTAATGCGGTGACGTTTTTGGCTTATGCTGGTAAATTCAAACATGAATTTGAACATTTACCTGCAGGTTTTGTTAGTGATTTGAAGCTCCTTGGAGGTGCAGCAAACTAAACACAAACTTAGTCTG